GACATTATGAAATGCTTTCTCTGCAGTGGTGGTGGAAATCCATGGCACATTCTAATCCCTGCCTAGGGGCAGGTTCATCTCATGTCTGAGCTCATTTCAAACCACAGAGTCCTATCCCATTTCACTACTTTAGCTCACTGGCCAAGTTTCTCCCCACTATGGTCACACCAACCTCCAGCCATAAGACATTTACACAAGCTTTCAGAACACTTGTGTCTCCTTCTACCAACTTTCATACTGGCAATTTTCCACTTATTTGTAGTGACTGATTTGCTTGTCATTCCCAGAAACCTAGAGACCATGTGCATTTTTGCTTCCACTGCAGCCACAGAGTCTAGCACACAGTAGGTTCTTAATAAATAGCTGCTAAAAATACTGTGAAGTAAACTAATGGTGGAAATGTTGCAGCTTCTGAGAGTGGATCATCCAAAAATCAAATCAAGGCTGAGGAAGATGAAGGCTGAATACTTGTGTTTTTGATAGAAAAATACAAGACTTTGTTGCTGTTGGGGCTCAAACTGATTTTGAAGACAATTCTCAAAATGTTTGATGAACAGTTTAACAGCATTCATTTGGATCTATAGAGAGATGACCAATTTTAAAACTTTGGTTTTAAAGGAGTAAGAGTTCATATTCAGAGAGGTTCACTCAAATTAGGGCAAATTAAGAAGGATAAGTTACCACTTCGTCTATCAGGTACAATATTAAACATCCTATATACATTTTTTTTTCATTTAATTCTCCTATCTGACTGTGTCTTCCAGTTTACAGGTAAGGAAATTTCGAGTGTGAGAGGCTATTACGCAGAATCACTGAACAGCAGAGCCAGGACTCACATATAGATCAACTTGATTCCAGGAACAATGCCCTTAATTAAAACACATTTTATATTAAAGAAATAGATGCTGACATTGAATAATAGGTGGTGCTTCCTCCCATGAAAAGATACAAAATTATAGTCTGGAACCACCAACTGAGGCAAAAGTGCAAGTATTTCAAATAGGACTTGGAGTCCAATGATATGAGAACAGAGGAACTAGATCATTCATGACAGAGGAATATGGACTAATATTTACTGAAAGCTAGTTTATGCTAGATTTTGTATTGGATGCTTTAATGTATGTTTTTAAATTTTACTTAAAATTTTTTTATCGATAACAAGCATTATTAATTTTTTTCTTCCCTCAGGTGTGGTCACCGCAATTTTTCCACAACCAAAGCGCCCATACATAGTCCTCTACCATAACCTATGTTATATTCTCATCCCTGCACCCCCTATGTTTTCTCCCTATTGGTTTTTTTTTTTAATCTTTGAGAGCAGTACTATTAAAAACAACAATGTGCAGAATAAGTGCAATATTTGGCTACCTCAGTGTTCATTCCCTTCTCTCCTGCTTAGGATGTGAAATCCCCACATTTTAGCTGGGAATGTGAATGCAGGGAATAAGGACAACAACATCTCTATTCCAGTTAGGTGAGCTCACATAGTAATGTGAGTAATGTGAGTAAACCCCTGGCCACTGGGATTTAATAAGTGTATAACAGCCTCCGGGAAATTTCCTAAAGAGACCACAGGCTCTTGCCTTTCCCCATCTTTTTCCCTTTCTTCTTCACTCCTTTCTACCACCTGGAACTTAGATGTACATAGCTCCACCTAGGACTATGAGATTGAGGACCTCATCTGCTGTATTAATCTAACAGATAAAACCAACCAGATATCAGAAAATTGTAAAATCCACCTGCTCTGGATTGATTCTTTGAAAGCTTTCTTCTTCTTTTTTTTTTTAATGTGAAGGAAAACAAACATCACTTTGTTTAGGCCATTTCTCTTTGCAAGTCTGTGCAACTGGCAGGTCATCTTAACTAATACAGCAACTCATCCAAAGCAATGGTGTAAGATTCAAAAGCATCAGTCTACAGAGTTCATGGTCTTAGGTAGCAGCCTGAAGAAATCCTGTTCATAATTTGCAATAGATTTGGGGGAGCAGATGAGTGAAAAGTCTGAAAAAGAATTTTACAGGAAAAAAAATAATTGGTTTGACTGTGCGCTCAAATCTGCATACCTGAGAAACAATCAGAAGGGATATGCTACTTAACAGTAAAGATAGTCTCCACCAGAGCAGGGCAGAGGAAGATCTCAGTCACCTACAGGTATCTGGAAACAGAAGAGAAGAGAGAAGAGAAACAGAAGCTGTGCAGATGGTGGCCTCTGTGAAAGAGGCTGTAGGCTGAGGAGTAGGCATTGTAGAATGGAGCCCTGGAGATGGCCACAGGATAAGACAGACAAGGAGAATTACAAAGGATTCAGACTGAAGAAGCAGGAGATGAAGTTCAAAGATACAGAGTCTGGAAAGGGACAAACAGAATCATATGACCCATATCAAAGAGCATAAAGGTCAAAGAGGCAAAAGGAAAAGGGCAAGGTTAAAGCTCTGACAACTCATTTTTATTCATTCTCTTTACCAGGCTTCACAACAGCACTGAAGAAATGAATTTCGATTATGTTGCAATTGAGTAGAATCCTAAATGAAAGGAAGTCATAGAACAGAGAGTTTACTATTACCCTTTGTTCGATTTCTTAATGAACAGAGAGATAAGAACTTAGCAGAGAGATTCAGTGATTGCAGTTAGGCCTAATTTTATTTAAGATCAACCTTAATGATCCAGAAAAGGAAAAATAAGTCATTTCTGCCAACGGCATTATTTTAAACACCAGCAAAAGTTAGCTAAGTGATAATAAAACTATGTATGAAGCTTAAAAATACAGATGGGAAATAAAGTGAAAATAGGTAATAGCAATAACTGAAAAGGCAGCAATATGAAAACAAATGTGACTACAAATGAGAATGCATTTTACAAAGGAGTAAATAAATTCTACCCTATTATTGGGCCTCACGAATTCCTTCTGGGTGGCCACAGGTCTAAACTGTTTGCTGTACCATCCAGTGCCATGGAGTCAGGCCACAGTGAAGAGCATGTTTCCTGCACACAAGGCAACATAGCAGACCCACCAGGACTGGGGTACATCACAGCTTCAGGCCACCAGGTCCAAACTGTTTGCTGTACCATCCAGTGCCATGGAGTCAGGCCACAGTGAAGAGCATGTTTCCTGCACACAAGGCAACATAGCAGACACAGCTTCAGCACCATTTGTTTCTGATAATTCTAGTGACTGCTGTAAACAAAATTTGAAATTCAACTTGAGAGACACCAAATGAAAATGGGGGAGCAGATTAAACAGGCTATTTTTGTATGGGTGGTAACAAAAATCAATAAGGAACATAAAAATACTCAGCTACTATATTTGAAAATTAAGAAAACTGGTTTACAAATAAAACCTTTGACTATAGCAATCATATTTGAAATATGGAAATATTCAGAGCTTCAGAAAACAAATTAAATTCCAGGTCACAGCAGGAAAATACCCACATCATCTAAAAAAACTCAGAGGAGTAACAGAATATTATTTGGAGATTTAAAAAAAAGAACTATTAAATCAGGAAAAGACATAGAGGAAACTTAAATGTAAAAGCTAAACACAGTAAGTCAATTCAAAAAAGCTATACACTATGATTCCAACTAGATGACATTCTGGACAAGGCAAAACTATGGAGACAGCATAAGTATTGATGTTTCACAAGAGTTAGTGGGGAGAAAGGGTTGAGTTGTTGGAAAATTTTAGGGCAGGGATACCATGCTATAGTATCATACTCTAATAAATTCTAGACACATGTTATATAATTTAGCCAAACCCACAGAAAATGTACAACACAAAGCATGAACTCAAAAGTAGACTATGGACTTTGGATGAGGATTATTAATGTAGGTTTGGCAATTGCAACCAATGTATCAGGTTGGTCGAGATGCTGATAATGGGGCAAGCTGTGCATGAGTGGGGAGTACATGTGAACTCTCTGCCCTTTACTCTCTGTTTTGCTGTGAACTCAAAGCTGCTCTAAAAAATAAAGTTGATTTTAAAAAAATGGAGGCCTTGGTATCCTTTTCCAATTATATTTATCAGAGCATTTTACATTTTAATGAATGTCAGTACTTTCATTCTGAGGATTCTGAAGAATGAAATAGCAATGGGGAATGGTTTTTAACAAGCACATTTAAACAACTAGTTAAATAATATCATTCCAAATGTGAACATATTCATGTTAGGATGGACATGTTAGAACAGCTTTCCAACTGAAGAAAAACAGAACAAGTGTCCAAGGGCCGTAAATTTAGTTTTAACTTGTACAGTCGTATTTATTTGTTGCTGTAATTCTAAAAGACGGGGGACAGCATGAGAAAAGTGTCATGACTCAGTTGTACACTCCATGACAACTTTACCCCCTTTCTCTACCAGAGCTGAGAGTAATAGCTGACATGTTAGGGCTTATATTCTTAAATCACACAGGCCCAGTTACTTGAAGGCTTAGCTGTCGATTTATAATCTCTTCAATATAAAATGGAGCTCCTGACTAGAAAAGCCCGAGGCAAAAGAACCTCACATAGGCACCCATAACTCAAAGAGCAATTTGGGTTCTCAGGAAGTGCAACCTGAACATATGGAGGGCATTGGAATTGCTAAATAATACTGCAGTTCGACTTTTGCGTGTGTTTACAAAAGGAGACAGAACAGTGATAAAAAAACACATACTATTTAATCTCCTCTTAGAAAGCAGTAAACAAATTGACTATTTTAAGCTGGCTTGCCCATTCACATTTTAAATTTTTCATACTGACATTTCAGGTAGTTTTGAAAAGTTTCTAGGCAAGGCGAATTTATTCAAGGAACTTCACGTGCTGGCTTTTGCTTTTAAATTTAGATTTGTCCTTTTCTTGGGGGTGGGGGGGGCAGATAAGGGGGGCTGTGAGCGAATCTTTCGACCACAACGAAGTCTTCCATAAATGTCATCTGACCCAAGGCAACCTATGGACTTTTGGGAGTCAATTGAGGACACAGAGTAATAAGCCAGCACCGAGCCTCCACCCTCCTGACCTCCCAGCACCTGCTCGACTGCAGCCGAAAAGAAGAAAACTCTGAGCTTCTCTCTCTAAATGGGTATCGGCTGCCCTCTCCTCCTGCAAACAAGCGACATCACCATCAATTTGCAGACGAACGAGTATCCAAGCAGCAGCAAAATGTTTGTCAACACACAGAGCCAGGGTAGGGGGCCAACAACGAAGCCCGAGCGCACGCGAGGACAGAAGGCACACGTCCTGGCAGCGGCTGCTCACCTAGAGAGCGCGAGACCCCGGCGGGCAGCGCCGAGCCCGGCTCCCGCACCGCCCCAAGGGCGCACGCTCTCGCCGCAGCCCCGGGAGCGCAGGTTCCAGCGCGGCCCGCCTCGCCGCGGCCGCCCACGGCTGTTGCCCCGAATGACCCCAGCACCCAGGAGAGGTCCCCTCGGGGGGGATCGCTCCCGCTCCGCCCGAGAAAAGGCGCCGCGATGCCGCGCCCCACCTCTGGGGCCGAGCCACCTGCCCGCAGGCCCGGCTCGCAGGTGAGGCGCGCACAGGTAACCGCACCTGCCCGGCCAACCCCACCTGCTGCGTCCCCTCGCCCGGTCATCCGCCTCCACCTCGGAGGTCGGCTGCGCGCCTCTCGGAGACCCGGGGCCGTCCGGCGCCGACCTACCTGCGGGACTCCAGCCCTGGGCGCCGGCGCTCCCCGCGGCGTGCGCCCCGCGCCGCTCGGGGCGCGCCGGCGGCGGCCCCCGCGCCCGCACTTTCCCCGGCTGACGGCTGCAGCGGGCTCAGCGGGAAGCCCCAGCGCTGCCCGGCTCGCCGCCCCCGAACGGCTCCATTGTGACGCGGCGCGTTCCGCCGGCCAATCGGGGCGCGGCGGCGCGAACCGCTGACTTAGTTCGCGGGTGGAGGAGGAGGGGACTGGGCGGAGGCTGCAGGCGGGGGCCGCGGGGTGGCGGTGGCAGAGCAGGAGGAAGAGGAGCTGGAGGCTGCGGCTGTTCGGGGAGCTGCTGCTGCTGCTGCTGCTGCTGCTCGTTTTGCAGCGGCCTTGGCCCGCGCGTTTGCCCAGCTTGGGGGCTGCGGGGGCCGGTGACTCACCCCTCGCTGGTGGAGACAAAGCGCAGCTGCCATCACCCGGGAGCGCGCCATGTGGCCGCCCCAGCCGGCGCGCCTTAGCCTGCGGTCCGCAGGCAGCCGCGCGCAGCTCCAACGCGGGTGGGGGGCGGCTGGAAAGAGCGGGGGTTGCTTTGAAGAGACTGGAGAGAGAGAGACAGAGAGAGAGAGAGGCTCAGGTTTGTCCACCAAGCACGCCATGCAAAGGACTTTGGAAGCACAGTATTTGTGTGTCCGCCCTCCATCCTCTGCCTCCCTCCAGTGCACCCCTGAGTAACTTGTTATTTACATAACATGCGCTGGGCCCTAAGGAAACACTGGGGCCAAGCACGCGGGAGCCTGGCTCTTGCTCTCACAAGTACCTTGACCTTTCTGTGCAAGCACACTCAGAAAGGCTGCAGGGCCGGCCCCTGTGTGGGAGAGTTGACAGTTGTATCAAAGCAAGCCGCTGAAGTTAGGATTCTGGGCCTCCAGTCGCATGCATCTCTCTCACATGGCCTTATGTTCAGATGGACAGGAGACAACATGGTAGACAGCGGCGGGGCCGGCCTCTACTCATGGCTGGTGTTCTGTTGCTGGTAAACTGCAGGTTTATTCATGCCATCTACTGCTTCCTCGCTCATCTCCCCCTTCCGTAAAGTCATCATGGGTTTGAAAAGTAGCAGTGTCCTTACAAAACAAACACAAAATTAATTCAAACCCACGAAGGCAGGTGACTTCTCATTCACCTCCTAGTCTCATCCTCAGCCCACGTTTAACTCAGTTTTTGCGCAATCATGTCCAACACAATGATTCAACGAAGCAACATTTATATCTCAGAGTTGCTATGGCGATTACATTCCCATTTAAAAAAAAAATGTTTGTATAGGGACCTCTCAAAGGAATACAACGAAGACTATACAAATCTACCCACTTGGGGCATGGGATAAATTTGTGTAAATGGGAGTAAAGACAATGTAAGGACAGAGTTCTACAGATTGAGTTATGTCCCACAGAGACTGTGCAGAGTAGGACTACAATTTAATGCTGAAAAGAGTCTGGAAGAACATTACTTCGTTCGATCATTCATAGGATTTTTATTGTGCACGTGTGTGTGAGAGACACTGTATGTACAGATCTGAGATTTGGTTTGGTCCTCAAACTGCTTACCACTTGGCAAGGAAGATAGAAAATTAATTCTCCCATCACAGTAATATCACTACCTATGTGACTTAGGGTAGTGTCTTTTTTTTTTTTTTTCTTGATGCAAATAAATTTATTTCTGTTAGGTGGGGAAGTAGACTGCTTAGTGCATTCCAATGTTAAACAGTCTTCTATGGTAGTTACTTAACCTCCTTGGGGAGCCAATATTTTCATGTATAAAATAAGAGGTGATAAGCTGAATGAGCTGCAAATTTCCAATTCCAATGATGGAATCATAAAAAAACCCAGAACAAACACAACTTTGTGGCATCAAAGTTTGGCAACCTAAGATTAGCAGGAAGTTAAAATGATCAATTAGCTGTGGTTAATCTCAGAATTGTAGCTTAGAAACATGTTTCTTTTATTCCAGTTCTCATGAACAAAATCACCTGCCAGGGTGACCACATTTATTACTGACACAGGAAAAAGTGGCCTTTTGAATTTGTGATATTGCATTCAGGAATTCTCTGAAAAATCAATTTTCTCTTGTTTCTTCTTCCTTCTACGAGGCTTCAGATAAGCTCCTGCTTGCACTGCAGTGAATAGAAAGATGAACAACTTCAAAGGCTGTTCTAGAAGAACTTTAATATTATGCATATGATACAGGCCCATTAAAAAAGAGAGAGACTATTTAATAACTAGAAATTATTGGCATCCCAAGGCAGGCCTTCTCATGAAAAATATAAATACTGCTTGACTTCTTATTCCTGTATCCTGTTTCTAGTGTTTTAATCTCTTTGATTATAATGGAGTCTTGGAATATGTTCGGTCCTTACAGGAGTAGCTGAAATTCTCTAAGGGATCCCCTGATTAATTTATTTTGGTAAGAGAAAATTCTTAAAGATTCAATCACTATTTCCACAGTCAAATTCATCAGCCTGAAGTAGTGATAAAAAAATTCCATCATGTATGGAAACAACCCAGATTAATGGATCAAAAAGTTATGATATATTTATACAATGGAGTATTACTCAGTGATCAAAAAAGAAAAACTCATGCCATTTTTGGCAACATGGATGGAACTAGAGGGGGTTATGCTAGCTGAAATTAATCCAAAGGAAAAAGATAAATACTGGATGGTCTCACTTCTATGAGGAATATAGAGACACCAGACAAAAGGTCAAAAATGTCAAAGTAGCAAGGTGACCATAGAACTAAAGCATACAGCAAAGGAGGGGCAGGGAAGGAGAGGTAAAACAGTGGAAGGATGAATACAAAGGAATATGGTGATGGTTCACAGGTGATCTTGTGATGGGAGAACTATGGGCACTGTGATGTAAGAAAAAAATTTAATTAAAAAATTTCATCACAGATATTAAGCATGTATTATGTGCCTATTATAATAAGTGTGCAAATCACCATGGGTGATCCCCACAAACATCAGACTTGGTCACTGACCTTAGCAGCTTAGCGCTTAGATGAACACATAGAAAACAATCATGTGCTACTTACACGCAAATGATCAGATGTAACAATGCAGATGGTAATAGAGAAAGCATTCTGATGGGAACTAGTGAAAGAGTAACAGAATAGAAAAAGTAAATGCTATACTTTGTTTTATCTCCCCCAAATTTTTTCTTAACCCATGTCCCATCCACCCTCAGGATTCAATTTCTTCCTAGTAAACTGAGAATTTCTAGAAGAAGCAGGAGTAAAAATATTCTGCTTTCTGGGACTCCCTGGTGGCGCAGCGGGTTGAGCACAGTGCTGTGAAGCTGTCCGCAGTGCGGGTTCCATTCCCCACCAGCCAGGGAGATAGCCACATGGCACCACAGACCTCTCCTGTCTCACCCACTGCTCCCCTAAGCAGTGTCTTTGGTCCATCTACCTGCTCTGTGCCCCACTCTGTCTCTGGTGAATCCTCTCACCCTCCCACGCCTTTGGCATGCACCCCAGTTCTTGTATAAATAAAAATAAATCTTTAAAAAAATTCTACTTTCTACAAGATTCCATTGAGTGGAATAGTTAATGGTGGGATCTTCATGGTTACATGTCAAAGGGAATGGCTATGAAGAGCAAAAGTGGTCAGTTTCCCTAGCTGATAATAAATAATTGTATAAATAATAGAACTGAAAGGGTCACTACAATTGGGTCATCTGGTTACTGAAGTCTCCACTTCAGAGACCTACATGAAGTAATCAGCTAACTCCTGGGTTTGACAGGTTCCTTGAGCTGATTCCTTAGGGAAAAAAAAAAATTCTGAACAACATCAGCATTAAGCTGTGCTCCATGACTGTCTTGATAAGAATTAGTTTTCTGTATGTCCTAACAACATTTTTATGATTGTGAAATCAGAATATTAGCCAATATTAGCAGTTATTTTTCAATTCAGTATTCTAAAAATGATTTATGATAATTAAAATTTTTTCATTTAAATGAATTAAACATTAAATGTCTACAATATATAAAAGAAAGCACTAGAGGTCTGACAGAAGTGAGGGAGAATTCCAAGATAAATATAATTTCACTGCTAAAAGATATGTACTTTAGTGGAGAAGCTGCATTCAGATAACATACAGACTCAGTGGGGAGGGGAGGTAGGTGGGTGACGTGGAGTTGAAGGAGAATCATATTGAACATGGAACTGGGTAGATTGGCTAGCTTTAAGGTTCTAACTTGGAATATTACTTTTAAAATTATCTCAGCATCATGATTCAAGCTTGTGAGTTCTACCGAAATGTCAGGTCAAAATAAAAGAACAAAAGTTTAAAGTCACTCACAGTTTCACATCTCGGAAAGTTTGCCAGAATCTGGCTGGTTCAACTGTGTGTTATTAAGCACACTGTCATTAATAAAGAATTTTTATTTCATTTTGGATAAACATTCTACTATGTTTTTCTGACCTTTTCAATCTCCTGGTTGCAGAGGTTTAGCATGAATTTTCCTTGGGTGTGGAGAAATGTTAAGAATGACCACTAAGAATGATCTCAGTGGTGAGAATTCTGAGG